AAGTAAAATAATAACACTATAATAGAAAAATATATGTATCTAACAATATTTTATTTCTCGACTGAACGATTAATTAAACTAAACTACACTACAACTACACTAATTAAACTAAACTAAAAAAATAGTACATAAACAAAAAGACTGGATAGAATTTCGATCAACCCAATCAATCAATCAAATCAAAATAATGTAAAATTATGTAAATTTTTTATATTGTTAATAATTTGCACGCCGACATAGAGGCAGAATGTATATGGGAAATTTAAACCTCTTTCATCGAAAACTACCTACATTCTAGCAAAATAAATTCATTTCATTTCATTCATTTCAAATTCATTTCATTTCATTCATTTCAAATTCATTTCATTTCATTCATTTCAAATTCATTTCATTTCATTTCATTTTAATCGTATCACAATTTTTTTATTTGTATGAGAATCGAACCGCTATATCCATTTACATGTAAATCACGTGTAAATATTTTTAATGGCCATATGAAATGATTACCAGAACTCACGACAACACGAGGCACGTTTGAATGCGCACGCACTAACAAAAACGAGGCGCGGCTGTCTTGTAACAAGGAATAACACAGCTGATATTGTTTATTTTGTTTATTTATAACACCTTATTGTACAGTATGCCGTTCGCTCATAGCCTAGAAAGAGCCACGCTTTCCTACCCTGTGGGTGTCGTAAGGTGACTAAGAGAACTTATTAGTCGAGGGTTGGGCAGCAGTATCTCTCTTAAAACATCAACAAAAGCCTAACTGCGGTTGCCAAACCGTCTGCCAAGCGTGGCAATTACTGACGAAACCCGTTTTAGAAGGAAGATCTGTATTCATCAGTGGACAGTTAAAGGCTGATCTGATAACAATGATAATGATTTTAGAAAAAAATCTTAAATTGGAGCTGGTTATACAGAAAATTCATCTCTTATGGATATCCTAGGTAATGGAACTGCATAACTAGTGTACGGAGTTCTTAAGAATGTGCACAATAGCGGACTAGTCCCATGAAGCAGACTTCCTCCAATTTTTTTTTATATAATATAGAATGGCAATCAAGCTGACGGCCCACCTGATGGAAAGTGGTAACCGTCGCCTATAGACATGAGCAGTACCATGGACATAACAGAGTATACTGTTTCGCCCATGATACACCCCATGTGTTGCCATTCCTGAGGACTCAGGTGTTATTCCTCTGTACCTAGTAAATTCACGCCATATCCCACCCTTTAAACCGAAACACAGTCATGCAAACGCAACTGCTTCACGGTTGAAACACGAATGGGACAGAGGTACCCAAGCAATCGACTTTTGTACAAAGTTCCAACGCTTAGCAGGCAGGTTGGCGACCGCAGTTAGGCTTTGGTGATGCTTTTAGAGAGACATTGCTGCTCATCCTTCTACCTTTAATTTCCCTTAACCGCCTCTTACGACACACACTGGAATAGAAGAGGTAGCCCAGTCTTAATAATCAGGGCAACAGCGTCCCTCTTAAAACATCACCAGTGTCTAACTGCAGATACCAGCCCGCCTGCCAAGCGTGGCAATAATTGGCAAACCCACCCAGCTGCAGGGCAGTTAATAGCTGATATCATACCATGAACCTTCCCCATAGGCATAAAAATGATCTTGATACAAACTCTGTAAACTTATTTGAGATCGTCACCCCATCTAGTAGAGGGGTTGTCCTACACTACATTTCTCTGTAAGGAGTCGCCACTCGAGAGACCCTCTGTCTTGTAACTTGTCTATGGCCAGTATGTATTAAATTACCATATCTGCATTCCTATCCTTACTGTGTATCGATCACTATAGTTCTGCTGCGGTATGATTCTATCATAGAGTCAAACTCTGAAGTACAGCAGTCAATAACAGAGCAACTTGGAGCTACTTAATATGACCATAGTGTAAGACTCACTGAAAACACGTACTGGTAGAGTTCTACGAATATCTTTAAACATAAAAAAAATCAATAGAATTTACGTATGATCCTATATATTTGATGGTGTTGCATACATTTTATAAACAAAGTAGGCAATACATACATTTAAATAGGTACACAAAAATAAATCTATACCTTATATTTATATAAATACTACATAACTAGGTACAAGTATATAAACACCATAACATTATTCAAATGACCTAAATATTTTAGTATGCAGACTAGTATTTTACACGGCGACAAAACATTAACCCTGTACAGCTTTTAAACCTCATATCAACGTAACAATCTGTCCATATTGAACGTCGTAAAACGCCCGACCGACAAAATATAAGCCGTGGAAACAAAGAACTCATGGTCCACATAACAGCAAGGTCGAGGCGTCTACGGCAATTATGGTGAAACGACAGCCACTGGCATGGCAGAGTCGCACACTGCAAGTCGAGCAGCTTATCAACAACCCCGTCACCACTGGAAGACCTTGTCTTGACCGTGAAATACCGCGCCAATTACCCCTGCCGCCCCTATGGGCTTTCCATACGGAAATAGCAATATAAAACTCTCTCGTAGAGATCGCTACGCGTCGTAGCGGTGCGTACGACGTGATTAATTTTGATTAAACAATAAATCGCTTGTATAAGATGTTATTACACCTTCGAGCGCCGGATTGCTAATTAATTGGCATTATATAACGAAGCGAACAGCGCATATTTTATAATGGTACCAAACAAACAAATCCGGTCGCATCCTTTTTCGAATTTGAAAAGAGAACATACCTGATATAGATGTCTCGTTCTCTCGGAGTGAAGGTCGGAGTGTTAGTGTTTGTGGTGTAAGGGCACTGATGCACTCGCGTTCGCGGGCGTCTACGGCGGGCGGCGGCAACCGACTGGGCCCGGCCGGGAGCCCCGCCTCCCGCGCACCCGAGCCGCACCCCCGCGCCCTAGCGGATAAACAACGTGCATTGTGGGCCCGATCTGTGGACCTACTCTCCTGAACACACACACATACACCCCACTCGATATACATTACTGTTTCATCTCCATCGGGCGGGTCATCTTGTTTTCATTATTCGATGTTCAAAGATAACAGTTAATGAATGCTAAATTTATGGTCACGCGATGATAACGATGATGTTAAAAGGGGGATATTAAATAAATTCACTGTCCAGATAGTAGTAGTCTAGCGTTATAGATTTTGGATTTAAGTCTTGCGGTAGTACAAATCCAGGGAAATGATAATATGTCGGGTCCACCGCACAATATATACTTAATGAGACATTTGAAATAATAAAAATATCTATTATATCAATAGAGAAGACATAGAGAAAACTGCATAGATGTATATATGTATATATTTTGTTATTAAACTAAATAAAATGCGTATCTGAATTTAACTTTCTGTTTAGCCTAACGAGAAGAGCGGTCGCTTTTCCCAGAAAGGTCGCGGCGTCGAATCCATTTCGTATTTCTGAAGTCTGAATCCTTTAATCCATGTTATGGTTCAGTGGAGATAATAATGGTTAAAACTAATTACTAATAAACATCCTATATACAGTAGTTTTTATGCCTATGAAGAAATGCCTTTAAAGGATAAGTCCTCCTGTGTACATGTTTGTTAGACGTTCGTGTTTCTATAGTGAAACAATTGTGTTTGCATAACTGTTTTTCGGTTTGAAGGGTGGGATATGGCAGTGAATTTACAGCGTACAAGTCCTCAGGAATAGCAACATATAGGGGGTGTCATAGGCTAAACAGTATACTCTGTTATGTCTCTCCGTTAAAAGACAATAATTTTTTTTTTGCCCAGAGTTATTGTTGTTTTATGTTTAAATATAATGCATATGTATATTAGATTTAAAGCATTTGAATTTGAATAGCATATCTGTATTACCACACAAATAAATGGTAGCTTCAGATGTGACAAAATTAATATTAAACCAACACGCAAGTACACAGTCAATTAAAAAAAGTATATCTCTTTTTTTTATGCAACAGAATGAGATACAAACTAACGGCCCACTTGATGGATTTAGTTTACAACTGACGTAATTATGACGTAACAATACAATCAAGTTGAGAACAAAGTTCTTTTTGAATACATCATCATCATTTGGACACATCGAGAACCATGTCAGTTTGAAAATCACTTAATTTTTTTTTTAACATAGCAGACAAAGAACATTCGGCTCACCTGATTATAAGTAATACCACCACCTGTAAATACCCGCAACATTAGTGAAATTTCAGGTGTGTTGTCGACTTTTTAAGCAGGAATACGAATATTCTCTCTTCTTGAAAAAAAATACGAAAAATCGTACAAAAAAAAAAACATATAGAACCCGCAATCTATTTGTATACTTACCAAAACATTAGAGCACACAAAATTGAGAGGATAAAGGGGAAAAAAGGGACAAAAGACAGTAGATCACGAAAGCTACTAAACGCAAGTCATTTCGATCTAAAGGAGCTTACAGTATTGCTCTCTCATAATGTTTCTTAATAAATAATGCGATATGTAATAAAGGCGATTGCTGATAAAATGTTAAGGTAGTTGCTACAATACAACAAATTCACGAACATTATAATAGAAGGAAATACGAGAAGAGTGATACCTAGGTATAATTACATCTAGAAGATTAAAAAAAATTTGTATCGTGGTGTATTAAGAAGTAAAGAGGTGGAAGGCAAATCAAGATCTTAATAATATAGAAGTAAATCCTCTATAAAAATTCTTTAACGCCATAGTGTCTCACAATGCATCCAGCAGCATGAGCAGTATTCTTTAGTTGCTTATGATATTTCGAATAAATAAGTAGAGTTTAAATTCTTTCAAAGGGCATACTCGTAACTATAGCTTAAAAGCAGTTTTTTTTAACGTGTGGAAATCTTCGAAATCCCCTCCCAACTACCGGAGAGAAGGCAGAATGGATATGTGGGACTTTTACTCACTAAAAAACATATGGCATACGTCGAGATGCATATGCACGCATACGCACACATGTTAGATTTCCGGGTTTTTAATGTAGACTATCAGAGATCTAACCTCAAAAATGTGAAACACTTCAGATTTTTTGGTATCATCCTTGCGCAGAGGTTATGCTAATCTTCTCTGTGTCATTCCAATTTTAATATACCTATGTTCTGCCAAAGAAAGCAGTTTCAAAGCACTGCCCGCTGCTACTTCCACTATTCTTTTGGCGATATAAGAATTAACTTTATAATTAGGCAGTGTTCTAAGACATTCACCATATATACCAAACATTCAAGATATTGACAGGGATCTTTGCATCAATGCAGACAACATGGGATGATCTTTAGACGTCCTGATGTCTTTTCATCAATCACCATTAACAATACAATCGTATTTAAATATCTCACAATATAAAATGCTACAACATTTAGTCAATGTGTATGCTTCCTAAGGCAGTCAAGATGTAGGAGGGGGCGGCCAATTCGCGAAAGTCACATTTATCCTTCAATTGAAGCGGTCAGGTAATAGGGACTCATGCATAATTCCGACCCGACGACCTACATCAGGACGCTTGGAAATGAGCGTCCCTGACCGGCTGGCGGGAACGTCTGATCGACAGGAGTTTTTATAATTAAATAGAAGAATGAGCAATTTTGAAATTCGAAAAATGGTGTTGAAATTGACGTGTTTATTAGTGTTCTACAGGTTGCATTTTGAAAAACGCACATAGGAACTATATGAACCCATTGTCCCAGTACTCTTCTAGTACCTAATAAGGAGACGTCATAAGCAATTTCACCCTTATTTATTTATTCTTTATTGCACAATAAAACTTTGTACAAGTGGCGAGCTTAATGTCATATGACATTCTCTACCAGCGAACCATTCGGTAAAAACAGAAAGCGTATTAAAGGCAGATATAGTAAAAAATATGTGACATAATTATAGTAACATACTACTACATATATAATAGACAAGAAAACATATATACATATATACATATATATATATATATATATATATATATATATATATATATATATATATATATATATATATATATATATATATATATATATATATATATATAAACAACGATAAACATTATGAAATATAGCAAAGGCTTAGCTTCGAGGAGAAAGGGATTGTTAGTAATGGGCACTAACCGCCCTACTGCTAGCTATACTCTATCAGGTCATCCTCCACCTAGTTTCCATGGAAACCATCGTCTTTAATTCTTGTTGAATTCATCACAATGGGCCAACAGACTTACTTTCATCCTCACCTGTCATCCTTCATTGATGGCCAAACCAGCGTATACCGATACCGCAAGCGGAATTACCATTCAATTTTCTCTCAATAAAATTCCCTTAGTAGCCTCTTACTACACCTACTGTAAAAAAAGGGGTGACCTATTCTATACTGGGACCACAGGGCAATGATTAATTATTGATGAATTCGTCACGATGGGCCAACTGACCTACTTCATCCTCATTAATCATCCCTCACTGGTGCGCCCTCAATGTATACCGAGTGCACAGGCAATGTCACTATTTTATTTTCACCCATTAAAAAAATACAAATATATCGAAAAATTTTTTGGAAGTCATTTTAAAGTATATATAGACTAGCTTTCATTCGGAAATTCGTCTGCATAACCGTGATATGTTCATTAATCGGGATAAAAAGTAAACTATAGCCGTCTCCCTCCCATTTCGTTTACAGTACTCTCCCCTTAGTTCCTCTTCACTTCATTTAAGAATTTCCTTTTATTAGTGCAATTAATTTATGCATTTTCTTCCAGCCAGCCCTATTCCAGGTCATATCTTTGACCTCCCTATACGACATGACACCTATAGTTTCCTTTATCTATTCCGTGTAATTATACCTCGATCTTCCCCTTTCTCTTTTGTCCCCTATTTTTGCTTTTACTGTACTCCTTAACAAATCGTCATGATGTATAAGGTGGCCCAGAATTTTTTCTCTTCTATTATCTATTGCTTTTATCAATGTTTTCTTTTTATTAACCCTTTTTCTAAAGACTTCCTCATTGGTTATTGGGTACATGGGCGAAACAGTATACTCTGTTATATCCATGATACTGCTCATGTCTATTGGCGATGGTTACCACTTTCCATCTCTTTCCATCAGCTTGTTTGCCATTCTAAGTTGTATAAAAAAAACTTTTTCTGTCCAACTTATCCTTTCCATTATATACATTTTGTATACAGTGCGTGTATATCAAATTTCATAACGATTGGTTAATGCGCCAATTTGTAACAAACAAATAAAGAAATACCTTTAGGCATATTACGCAGTACCACCTAGTTCCAAACTAAGCAAAGCTTTTAGTATGACTACTAGACAATTGATCCCCGCCTCATCACGCCGGTGAGATATAGTTCCAGTGACCCGGAAGTAGTTGTTACTCATAACTTAATGTTTTTTTATTGTTCTTTATTGTTTGATTACTTAAATAAATGGAGAGAAAAAAAATTGTCATAATGCTTGCGTTAACCCTTCTTTGCATGATTTTTTTATTGGTAAAAATCAAAGTCATATAATCAAAGTGATATAATTCATGTTTAAAATTAAAGGAAAAATGGTTAAACAATAAATTTGACAGTTATGTTTTTTTTTCTGCAATGGACATTAAAATATTATCCAGACGCAATCAACTTAAAGTGAACTTGGTCTTTTATATAAGTTTTAGGCATTCAAGTTATGATGGAAATTTTCACCAGTATGCAAAGAAGGGTTAATTCCCGGCCCTTAAAACATAAAGAATGTGATATTTCCGTGAAATTACTGTATAGTTTCATATTAAATCTCCCTGTTCTGGATTTAGAGTGGCACTTGACTTGCAGAACCGGGAAACCACCATCTTCATTGAATTGAAAAATTTATTCTACAAAACTCGACCTCTTGACCGTATTCCCGCTGTTTATACGAGCCTCACGAAACGAGGCATAACACGGTAAAATAAATTAAATTAATTATTAACTTTCCGGTGATGAGAAAGACTGTTAACAAACCTAATTAATCTATGTAATGAAGGTAGGCTGACCTTCTTGATTGTTGAACACTGATATACTCGGCGAATCAATATATAGATATCGTAAGGAACCTATATAATATATAGAATAAATGTATGATAGAATACTTATTGCCAAAGTTAAAAAAAAATTCATACACTTCTAAAAGTGTTTTTTTTTATACAACTTAGAATAGCAAACAAGCTGACGGCCCACCTGATGGAAAGTGGTAACCGTCGCCTATAGACATGAGCAGTACCATGGACATAACAGAGTATGTGTTTCGTCCATGATACCCCCATGCGTTGCCATTCCTGAGGACTCAGGTGTTAATCCTTTGTACCATGTAAATTCACGTCATATCCCACCCTTCAAACCGAAACACAGCCATGCAAACACAACTGCTTTACGGTTGATCCCTGAGTCCTCAGGAATGGCAACGCATCGGGGGTATCATGTACGAAACAGTAAACTCTGTTATGTCCATGGTACTGCTCATGTCTATAGGCGACGGTTACCACTTTCCATCAGGTGGGGCGTCAGCTTGTTTGCCATTCTAAGTTGAATAAAAAAAATGGTATTTAAAACTAGTCATTCATTCATTCACTTTGTTATACCAACTAAATCGCATTACCCTACATTTGTACACCATTATACTAGCGAAGCAGTACTCGGCATTTCGTGGAATTATATATTTATCTTTTCGACAAATCGCGCCAACGTTTTATATAGCAGCGGAATGGCCTGAATATTCTGCATGTTCCATTGTATTTTTTTATATATTACAAGAGTACCGAGCATACGACTCGCCTTATAAGACATCCTATATGAGACATCGCAGCTCATAAATACTTGCAATCAATAGAGATATCACACGATGTTATATAAATGTCTTAAATCAAATTTCTCAGTAAGTTTACATCATTATATACTAGTTTTTACTTGCGACTTTGTCCACGTAACCGTATACTGTTGACCGGAATAAAATGTGGGGCATATTTCTGTATATCCCAAATATTACATATAGAGGTTTTCCCTATAGACTACAGTATGGGGTTTTATTAAAATTACAAATAGTATATTAAGGTTTCTTCAGTGTCGGCAACGCACACGTGTCACCTCTAGTGTTGCAAGCGTTCATAGGTTACAGTAACCGTTTACCATCAGACGGGTTGTACGCTTATTTACTACTTTTTCCCTATATACAAAAACAATAAGTTTCCAGGCCACCTAACCAAAGTGCTAATAACCTCCTGTTACAAGCCGAGAATCGTTCGCAATAGTGGGAAGTTACAAAACATTTAAATTAAAGAAAAGAAAATATAACTTTACTTTTACAGACCTTTTTTTTATTTTAATATTGTTATAATTTTAAAGTATCATACATGTAGTGAACCATTTATTTATGATATATATCACTCCAAGTTGTTTAAAAAAATAAACTAAGCTGTTTATACATGCATACGTTGAAAACTTTAACGATTAGTTAAAACAGAACTAGTTTGTTATACGACAGTTCCAAGTTGAATAGAAGCAGTTTTATGCGGCAGTATAGCGCTTAGGTTGCGACGAATTATTTTAAGCTGATAGCGCAAAGCTATAGGCCTCGACCTAATTAAGAAGTGAACGTATTACATCATAGGTAAACCACACTTGCAAGTGTAAAAACAACATCAAACATATATATATATATATATATATATATATATATATATATATATATATATATATATATATATATATATATATATATATATATATATATATATATATATATATATATATATTACAAAAAGATTAGGCTTATAGTTTTACGACCGGCCACCTGCCTGACGTGACCTGGCCACTGCCAACCCTCTTTGGGAGTGCATTTGTTGGTGGTCTCCGCCACCTACGGTATAGAAAAAAGGATTGATGAAAAAAGGAAGGTAACGTTGGAAATGTGTAAAAAAAATTGGTAAATAACAGGAATAAGGGACTTATTTGGGAAAGGAAAGGTAGGCACTGCAGTTGAAAAAAGGACTAGGACACTGCAGCGGCTCGGGAGGCCGGGATCGCATACTCGTATGCCCTTAATCTCGAATCGGACAGATTTCTAGAGAAAGACACCCCTGACGCCTATATAAATATATATATTTATAACA